TCAGCGGCCTTCGCCGACATCCTTCGCCGACGTCTCTCGCCGTCGACTCGTCGTCACCGCTCAGCGGTCCTCGCCGACATCCTTCGCCGACGGCCCTCGCCGTTGTCTCGTCGTCATTACTCGGCGGCCCTCACCGACATCCCTCGTCGCCGCCGAGCTGCAAGCAAGCTGCCCGCGTCGCCGACCAGATAACGCCATACACCGCTGACCAGACATTCTATCTAAAGCTAAGTCATGTTTTAATATTCTTCAATCTCCGTATATCGTCATAATGTTTTTCCGAACTGTTTTCTCCATGTTTGCTCTCCAAATGATTTTCTGAACCCCCGAACAGTTCTGTTGATGCTCGGACGCCTCCAGAGATGGTCCTGTCTCCGGCTCCTCCCTACACGTGCTACGGGCTCCGCGCTCTGCGTTATGGGTGGTCGGCAGCGACTCCTTGGTCACGCCTGTTCCTCCTACACGTGCACGGGCTCCGCGCTCGACGTTATGGACTATGGGCTAGCTAGGGCTGAAGACTCAGCTACACACTAACTGTTCGGGTGGTTTATATTAAACATAAATATATTTTCACGCCAACTAATTGCCGAACTGCATACACCGTTTCATCACCATTGCTGTTTTTTCTCCTGACTTTCTTTATTTGTACATCGTGTACTACCCGTTCTATATATTTGTATTGCAAGATCGTCGTCTAGGTGATCGGACCACCTGGTGCTCGGGCTTCTCCACCGATCAACTGGTCGGACTGCTTGGTTCATGGACTCCGTCGCCGACCAGTTGATCGGACTGCTCGCCGGTCGCTTCTACTCAATGTTCACTTTGTCGCCGACCGAGCCGACCGTAATGTTCGTCGCTTTCGTGCTTCATCGCCGCCACGTCGGTTACTCCTCGGCCTCGGATTCTTCATGCTCGAGGACTAAGTGGGCACACTTCACCGCACGGACGTCGTCAGCTACGTCGGTGCTCGAACCTCGCCGCCTATGCCGGGGACTCCTCGGTGCTCGGACCTCGCCACCTACGCCAAGGACTCCTCGGTGCTCGGACATCGCCGCCTACGCCGGGGACTCCTCGGTGCTCGAACCTCGCCGCCTACGCTGCGTACTCCTCGCTCCTCGGTGCTCGGTCATCGCCAGCGACGCCGGGGACTCCTCGCTCCTCGGTGCTCGGTTATCGCCAACGACGGGGACTCTCGCTCCCTCTGCGGTTTCGGACCTCGCCGCCTACGCTGGGTACTCCTCGCTCCTCGGTGCTCGGTCATCGCTAGCGACGCCGGGGACTCCTCGCTCCTCGGTGCTCGGTCATCGCTAGCGACGCCGGGGACTCCTCGCTCCCTCGTTTTCGGACATCACCGCTTATGCCGGGACTCCTTGCTCCTCGGTGTTCGGTCATCGCCCGGCCGATGCCGGGACTCCTCGCGCTCCTCGTGTGCTCGGTCATCGCCAAGAACGCTTGGGGGCTCTCGCCTCGGTGCTTGGTCATCGCCAATGACGTCGGGGACTCCTCGGTGCTCGGACATCACCGCCACACCGGGACTCCTCGCTCCTCGGTGCTCGGTCATCGACAAAGAACGGGGACTCCTCGGTGCTCGGTCATCGCCAGCGACGCCGAGGACTCCCTTGTTCGCCGGATCTTGCTACGTCTCGTCGGTGTGCTATCAAGTCGCTCCATGTCGTTCGGATTAGGTGCTAATCTTGGGCAAAGACGTCTGGGGTCTTGATACGCGCATGTCGCACGACGTTGGCAAGCTTTCAAACTTTTTTTTTGACCTCGCTACAAGATTCATTCTTCATCTTCCAAGCAGCTCGGGGACTAAGTGGGCACACTTCACCTTGCAAATGAATGTGCTTGTTCTCATCTCGAGGCTACGCCTGGGACCGGCCGCCGCCGCTCATTTGGTCTTCTACTTTATGACCACTGGCACCACATGATCGCTGCGTCATCTCATCGTCAGCTCGGGGACTAACTGTGGGGGGTATGGCCCCCCAAGACATGGGCCGCACCATCGAGGTGGCCCGCCCACAAGATCATATGCGTGCAATACAACGCGCTCTAAGGCACCGCAAGAAGACATTGTATAGTACCAAATAGGGATACTTTACTTGTAACCCCGCCCCTCCAGAGTATATAAGGAGAGGGGGGTCCTCTACTCGACACCATGTATTCAATACAATACACCAAAGACACAGGACGTAGGGTATTACGTCGATCGACGGTCCGAACTCGCATCTAAATCATTGCCTCTGCGCCTTTGTGTCACCATCTCGTTCCCCGACACGCCAGATCTCCACCGATAAATCTACCATCGCGGGATACCCCTCGGTGGACTGCCGAGCATATTCTGTCGACAATACCTGGTTACACCACGTTCTAAAAAAAACCACTATATTATTTTAACATGACTTGCTAGATTTAATTGGGTGTTTTGTGCAGCTCCTCTAGCAGCTCTATGTGCGCACGAACTAAACGGTTCCTCACCAGCTCCACTTCGCTAGTTAAGCTGCGAGGAACCTGCTAAGAGATGCCCACATGAAGATAGCAGCAGGAGCCAAAAGTATCACAGCTCTCCCACTCTGGTGGGCCCAGCGTGGTTATACACCTTATTCGTTTGAATATGGTATAATATTTTTCTCTCATAACTAATTAGCTTTAGTTAACTTATCAACCGCAGAAACTATCAGTCGAACAGGTCCGTAGCCGGATTTGCCCTGTGAACACGTTGGCGCGGGCAGCGTGAGGGCATGGCGGGGTGGAGGAGGAAGTGGACAACGAGAGGAGGTGGGCCCGAGGGCAGCGAGGAAGATGATAATAGAGGGAAGCATAACCGTGATCATTAACTGCCGTAAGGGAAAATGACAGCGCAGCCATTATTACTACCAAATGATTTCCAATCACAGATTAAAACCCATTATTTTTATTATTATTGTACATAACATAACAAAGCAAGCAAAGCAGCAACCGATTCGCTCGCCCCACTTCCAATCGCCGTCTCGTAAATCCGGGCGGCGCCCACCTCCACCGCCTCCGCCCTCTCTCCTCTACTTCCCCGCACCGCAGGCCGCACCGCACCGCACCGCTCTCCTCGGACCACCCACTGGGCACGCCAGTTGCCGACGCGCCAGGCAGGGGCGGAGGGGCCCGTCCAGGGCGAGAGAAATCCGCGCCTCGTCCCCCTCCTGCCGCGCGGGATTTCAGTTCCGGCCGCTTCATCCCCGGACCCGGAGGCAGGCAGGGAGGCACGCGGCGGCAATGCTGCTAGGCTCGCCCGTGAAGCGCCTGCTGCGGCGGGCGGCCAAGGGGCGGCTGGAGAAGGCCGAGCTGGCGGGGCTGGCCGCGGCGACGGCCGCCGCGCTGCTGCTGCTCCTCCTCTGCGCCGCCTCGCTCCGCTGCTCGGCCGCCGCGCTGGTGGCCGCGCACGGGAGGTTCTGGGCCGGCGGGGTCTCCATCGCGGCAGCGGCGGCGGCGGAGGCGGATGCGGCGGTGGATGTGGACAAGCGGCCCGTCTCCGCGCCGGCTACTGCATCGGCGGGGAGTGGTGGCGACGAGGAGGAGGAGTGCGACCTGTTCGACGGGGAGTGGGTCTGGGCCGGCGCCGGCGCCGGCGGGTACCCGCTCTACGACTCCAGGGACTGCCCGTTCCTCGACGTCGGCTTCCGCTGCGCCGAGAACGGCCGCCCCTGACGCGTCCTACACCAAGTGGCGCTGGCAGCCGTCGCGCTGCCATCTGCCCAGGTTCGTTGCGTTGCTTCGATCTGCTGCTATCTTCTTCTTCCTTGCTTCAGTCGTTCCATGTCCGCCATCTCCAGGATCCGGAGATTGGTTTGCTAAGCTTGTCAGAGCGGAAGAAGCGTGCGTGGGCATACTACTATCTCCGTGCATTTTTTTTTGTTGAATCTTGAACCAGTCTAAATTTGGTGCTGCTACTTCAGACTTTCAACGTCCGTGCAGTGTTTGTTCAATCTTGAGCTAGTCTAAATTTGACACTGCTACTTCAGACTTTCAACGTCTAAGAAAAAAAATCGTAGACAAGGCCACAAGGTCACTCTCTTTCAACGTCTAAGAAAAAAAAAACTAGACAAGGACTCTCCACATGAGATGTGGTTATGTGGGTCAGTCGATGCGCGTTGCGAAACTTAAATTAGATCATTGGAGTATATATAATATACGACGAACTAGACCATCACCTCACCTTGGGACTACCTAGTAAGATTGGAAACCCGATGCCCTTTGCCTGCCACTCGGTCTAACAAATATGGTTAGTCCTAGGAATGTGGGAAGAAATATAATGCAGCGTGTCATGCTGTTTCCAACTTGCAACCCGTGGTTGGAGGGTGGTCTCTTCATGCTATTTCTTGACCCATCATTGTTCCGTATAAAGCATTTCAGTGGACTTGTGATTATGTTCAGTTGCCTTTGTTGGCACAACAGTTTGTTGCTTATGTACCTTGGTTCTGAAATGAACCCAAAATCTAATGCCACCTTCACAACTGCACTATATTCACAAGCTAACAATAAGTATTGATGGTGTTTGTTGCATGGTGCTACCAACAGTGCTGGAGATGTTGACTCATCTGTCTCCAGGAATAGTTAACTCGCAACGGATAATACCACTTTTTTGCATCTGCCACCCTTAATTGGGCATGAGCATGCCTTCAGTGTGTACTGCTGATTGTGACATTTAGTTGGATTGTTTTGCATGTTTAGGATGTTCTGAAACTGAAAGATTATACTTACTGATTGTGATAGAGAATTTAAAGTGGAACTACAGTAATCTTGGTGGGCAATTTACAGCATTTTCAGAAGAATAGCTTCCTATCATCAATTTATTTCTAGTACAAGCAGGTTCATGGTTTTGTGGCCTTGTAAATCACCTCAATCTCTGATTCTCTAGGGTTTGTGGTTCATAACTGAAGAACAATCCGGAAGATCTGCATTACCACTCTAGCATAATCGATATTCTTTTTCTCTGACTTGGACATATTCTTTCTTTGATTTGTTAGATTTGATGCCAGAAGCATGCTGGAGAAGCTACGAAACAAAAGAGTAGTTTTTGTTGGTGATTCAATTGGAAGGAACCAATGGGAGTCTCTACTTTGTATGCTCTCTAGTGCTGTTCATAACAAGAGCTCTATCTATGAAGTTAATGGGAGTCCCATCACAAAGCACATGGGTTTCTTGATCTTCAACTTTAGAGACTACAATTGCACTGTGGAATACTACAGATCCCCTTTTATAGTCCTTCAAGGCCGTCCACCAGCAGGAGCCCCTGAGATTGTTAGGTACACTATTCGAGTGGATGCAATGGATTGGATGTCTGACCGGGGTAAGTGGAAGGATGCTGATGTATTGATCTTCAACACTGGGCATTGGTGGAACAATGAGAAAACAATCAGGGGGTAAGCATAACTTTGTATCACACTGATTTTTGCATTCAGCTAGTTCTCATGTCAGAAATAGCTATATGTTTTCAAGATTTTTTGCAATATTGTTTTGATTAGTTGAAATGTGACACCATGTTTAAGAGATTCACCTTTCAACTTTTGTTTCCTACAAGATTCAGTGTCTAGTTATCCACATCATCTGGCGATGACATATTCATGCATATACTCTTGGAGAAGATTATATCCTGAAATTACTAAGAATATGGCATGCTGGGATGGTGTTACGATTTTCTGATCACCACACTACCACAGTTGAATCTTATGCCCATTTGAAGCTAGGTTTGCTGACTTGCTGTTTTGTTCTTTTTTATCAGGGGTGCCTACTTTCAAGTAGGCGATGAGGTCAAAATGGGCATGACTGTTGCATATGCTTACAGAAGGTCGATACAGACATTGTCCGATTGGCTTCACAAAGAAGTTAACACAAGCAAGACTCATGTCATCTACCGTACATATGCTCCTGTGCATTTCAGGTCTGTGTAATCACCTACTTACACTTACAAATGATCACTCCCCTCATCTGGTTGTTTTTATAATTATTTGACAATGTTTGAGATCATTTATATATGTTCTGAACTTAATCATCTTATTGCAAAAAGTGATTGAAGCCTTGAACAGTGCATGCCTTTATTTCTTCGCTCTATTGAAAAATCCATGGATGTACATGAGTAAGATATGCTTTTAGTGATATGTTACATTGCCTCTTTAACCAGAGCAATCTGTATATGGTCTGCAGAGGTGGTGACTGGAAGACTGGTGGGAGCTGTCACTTAGAAACTCTTCCAGACGTGATGCCAGTGAAGTCCCTGGATGAATGGACTGACTTGCTTCAACCTGTGGATGATTTTCTAGGGAGCAATCTCGGATCCAAGTTGGCTGGTTTAGACCTGCTTAATGTGACGAGAATGACAGCTCAGAGAAAAGACGGTCACCTCTCAGTATACCTGAGCCCTTCAGGACCTGTGCCCCGCTACAAACAGGATTGCAGCCACTGGTGCCTTCCTGGAGTCCCTGATACCTGGAATGAGCTTCTCTACGCCCTTGTCATGATGAGGCATAAGAAGATGGGTCAGAATGCTTCCCTTGCTGGCACTAGGACACTGAACACTGAAGAGGGAGATGTCTTCAGCTGATTATCATGACAAAACAAGCTTCATAGTCATCCTGGGCGATGAGTCAATGATAGCTGCTGTTTCACATACCAATTAGGATAGGATGCCAGAGTGGCGAAACACATTTTTGGATCATGGGTGTTGTTTGCAGGAAGTTGCATACCGCCCTGCTGTGCTGTGTTTGCATATGGTGAGGTTAGTGAATAGTTGAGCTAGAGGTCAATGGTAGTATAGCTTTCTGTGGTGAAGGCAACTTGTATGGCTCATCGAGCGGTTATTGGAATTAGCAGTGGTGTACGTAGGTAGGGTCACTACAACGTATGATGTAAATATATGTAGCTGCGAAAGTGGGGGTGGTTTTAACTGAAGCTCACTGCAGTTACGAGGTGCATGTGCATGTGATTCAAGAATTTCTAAGCTGTACGGAGTACAATTGTTGCTCAACGGCTCGACTTCCATGCTCGTGGTTTCATTTTGTGCGTGCCTGATGACTTACATTTCAGTCCGTCAATGAACTGTCAATTGAAGTTGTCATGTTTAGCTGAAACTCGGTAGCAGAATTGGTAACTATATGGAGAAAAGCAATACAGAAAACAGAACTAAGCAGGATAAGAGCCATGATGAATAATTTGTTGCAAAAATCATAGTTTGCAATGCACAATTACATAGAGCACCAGATTGATGGTCACAATCACATTGATGCAGGATCGCTTCGTGCTGTCAGTCTGTTGGCACTACACAGGAGCTCAGCGATGCCAATATCAAAATATCAGCGACGAATCGCACCCCCCACCCCACCCCCACCCACCCAACACAGAGAGAGAGAGAGAGAGAGTATAATATCAATACTTTCAGAACACCTAAGTACTTAGCATTGTAGAAGATAAATGTGTACTGAGTTTGGTATTCCAGTATCATCGTTACATACCAAACAATCAGTAATGCATCCACTTTGGAGTTTGCTGCTAAATCTCTTGAACCAGATGCATGGAATTACAAGCAGCAAATGCTCCGTCCTGTTCGCTTGTCTTATAAGCCGTACTTTTTCAGCCAACGAACAGTATTTCTCTCTCACAACAAATCAGCCAACAATACTTTCAGCCATGGTTTATCAGCTAAGCAAACAGGGCTGTTAACCAACCGAAGGATCAGGACGTTTAGATGATCTGATTTTACCCCTGGGCATCATTATGCAAGAAAATGCAAACCTTCTGTGGTAGCCATTAATTCGCAAATTATTTTCTGCTATAACATAACTAGGACTGAAAACAAGATAGCTTTACCTGGGGCTAAATTCGAAACTGAAAAAACAAGATAACATTTCTCTAGAGGATTTCATCAAACAAAGAGGACCAGGAAGCTGAACTAGAGCATGAAACAGACAAAGCACTCCGGCCAAATTACATGTCACCAAAAGATGTATTGGCACAGAAGATCTGAAATAATGCTCATTTCTTTACTAATAATGCTAATTTCTTTACTTTCTCAAGAAAATGATACTTTTTAGGCAGGGACCTCACATGGTGCTGATATTCGTCTCTTGAAAAAATTGATATTAGCAAGGACGTAGTGGAAGCCTCAAGTGACAAATTCTTCTCATCAATTTTGAAAAAGTAAGCCCCCGCTTTGATTATGTCACCTCTACGCAACAGTCTCCTAACTAGAGCATTTAGCAAGCGTGAGTTCGGAGCACAACCACTATTTTCCATTGCTGAAAACAGATCGTCGAACTCTTATGGCAACCCTTCTTTTACAAGGTTTTCTATAATTATGCGATATGTCACGATATTTGGAGCTAAACCATGGGCAGAGATAGCAGTGAACAAATCCATTACATCTTCCTTTCTGCCATTTTTAAGCAAAGAATTAATCATAATATTGAAAGTAATCATGTCAAGTTGAAAATCCTTAGAACAGACGGTTGAGTGGAAGTTAAAAGAGAGAGAGAGAGAGAGAGAGTTGAGTGGACGGTGGTCTGTGACGGCTCTAGTATTGCGTGCCCGTGCTCGGTGCTCTGCATTATTCCCCTCCTCCCTTTCCAGCGCACCCAGCCCATCAACCAAACGCACGCACGCGCGCGCCACCGCGGCTCCCCTGCGCTGCGCAATGGACGCCGTAGCGTTCCCGCCGCCGCCCGCGCCGTTCCTCGACGAGGACCTTGACTTCGGCGACTTCACCTTCGCCTCCGCGCCCGCCGCGCCGCAGCCGCAGCTGCCCGCCGCCGCCTTCGCGGCCTTCGACGACGACTGGGGCGACTTCGTGGCGAGCGGGCTCGGATCCGACGCGGTCGCCTCGGCGCCGCCGACGGCCGCGCCCGCCGCAGCTCCCTCCTCCTCGTCGTCCTGGGCGAAGCCGCGGGGCCCGCTGCCCCTCTCCCTGTTCGGCGCCGCCGCCGACGACGGCGGCCAGGAGGAGGAGGAAGGGCCCGCCGGGCCGCCGCCCACGGCCACGGCGCCCCAGCGCGCCCTGTCCTTCCCCTCCAACGGGTCCGAGCCCGCGGATCTGAAGGACCTCATCGCTGGCCTCTACGGATCTCAGCCGCCACCCGTCGCCGACGCGGTCCTGGACCCGCAAGTGGAGGCGGAGGATGACGAAGGGTTCGGAGACGATGATTGGGAATTCACGGCGGCGACGGCGGAACCTGTCGATCAGGATGGAGACGGACCTGGGCATGCGGATGGAATTGGTAAGATTGAGGTGAGCCTGCCCGCGCACTGTGACGCATTTCCTGATCCTCTTCGTCTTTGATTTTAGTGCCGTTGCCAAATTGTCGTGAGATTTAGATGTTTGGGCTTTGTAGGAGTGACATCGACTCTATCCAAATCCAGTGTGAAATGATTGTTTCAAACTCCCAGGACTGTTTGGGGGTGGCCACTCGCCGGCGTGATGGATTGATAGTGATAAAATGTGACACTTACGGAATGCAAACTTGAATATGGGTGGTGTAAAATGAAGGGTGGGCTACTGGGATGAGATGTGCAATCTTATTGCTGGGAGATGGAAGGATTGTTGATTCCTTGCGAACTTTAAGCTAGACAGCCAAAGCTGTCCTGCTTTACAAAATCCCTGAGCTAGACTTGTTGCTATTGCAACATTAGGATGCCTCTAATAAACGGAAATTAGATTACATTGTTGAAGTAGAACTATTTTGCAGGTCTTTGTTTTGCCTATTTGTGCACATGGGAAAGGTGAATATCTGAGCGATGTTTTCATATCTTTCAGGATATAACAAAATCATTGAGCACTGACCAGGAAGACTGGTCATCGTTTACCAGTGTTGATTACAAATTGAACCATGTTCATCAAACAACCGATGGTCTTGGGACGCATGAGTCCACTGGAGAATCTGTGAAGGCCTCCACTTATTCGCCAGCTAATAATTCATCCATACTGAACCTGTACAAAGAAAGCGAACGGGCTGACACTATTCACATTGCTCAAAGCTCTGCAGAAAGTGTCCAGAGTTCATCTGATCTGTTTTCTAATAATGAAATGGTGAGCATTCATTGTATCTAAGTTTTCCACTGACACAACTTATTTCATATTCTTTTGATGTACACTAATGATCAGTGATCAGAACTCTTCATTTGAAACAGATGACAACCATTCCAGTAGGTCAACAAGTGATTGCATTTTGATTGAATTCTACCATAGACTGAGAGAAGAGTCCTTGACAGCAATATCTCGGCACATGAAGGATCTTAGGGTCAGTGATTACATTGCATTTATGAAAGGTCATTATTTGTGTATTTTGTTGCTTCATACTTTTCTAACTAAGGATATGCATCCAGGAAGCACAAAAGGAATCTACATTCTCTGATGAAAACAACAAAGCAACTGCAATCGGAAGGGATATTCAGGTGTGTTCCTGATCATTTATCTATAAATGAGATTTTTCTTGTGAATATATTGAAGGATTGCCTTGACCATAACTTTTTTTTGGGGTGTATTCTTATGTTCGTGTGCATCAACTCGAGAACCGGTAATCATTGTTATTAATCCATTTTCCACCAATCTCCAGGAAATATACGACAAACTAAAAGATTCTTTGCTGCCCAAAGGCTTTTTCACAGAGGAACAGCCTCGGAAGGATGTATATATCACAGAACTCCTTAATTGTATCAAAGAGGAACATCTGAAGGATTTGGAACAAGAATATTGTTTAGCAGAAAAGATAGAACGGGTATGTATCATACTATCATCGTCTATGTTACGTAAGTTTCTGATCATTATAAGTATGTTGTATAGGAACTCTACCTACTGTTGGCAATCCAAAAATCACATATGAAATTTTCCTTGGAAATTTCTGAGTCTTGAATGGACTTCTTCCTTAATTTATAGTTTCAACTCAAGATCAATACACTCTTTTTTTTCCCTGAACCACTTTTTTTTCCTCTGCTCAGTTTGACATCATTATTTTATGTTAATATTATTATAACTAATCCCTTCTGGTAAACTTACTCTAGAAAATTTTCTTGAATGATTTCCTATTGTTTATAATCTAATCTGCATTATGTGCAGCCAATCTTGCAATACACCTTCTGTTTCTTGCTCACATGATTGATGTGATTTTGGATAATATATTGACCTGTCTGATACCAAATTTCAGGCATCGGAGGACACGGATGTTGCAGTTGAACTTTACAAGCTCAGTGTTTCCACCCTACATATACTGAAACTAGCATCCAAAGAGGAACAGGGTGATTATGTTGGTTCATGGTACAGTATGCTTCTGTCCTGTGCCCAAGAATTGCAGCATGGTGCGGCACTTTGGCAAGAATTTTATCATGCAAATGTCTGCGACAGAGTAGTTTCTGAAGGTACAAATATTCTGCACGATCAGAAAAGCTTTATCATTTGGGATCATTTATCTTCACAGATAGAAATCAACTATAAACTGCCATCTATGTTGGTTTTACAGGTGGTCACTACTTTATTGCTCTTGGGGAGATATATAGAGTTGCACAGATTTTACATTTATCCTTGCAGTGTTTCAAGCCCTGGGTTCTTGCAGATCTTGGAATGTTGAGTAAAATGTTGTCTTCTTTGGACAGCTGCACTGATGCTTGGACTAGTGGTTTGGAAATGGCTCTTAAGATGGTCATTGACAGGAATCACATAGATGCATGTTTTGCTAAAGCTCTCATGGAGTCGATTAAGAATATTACAAAACTTGAAGTGCCCAATCTACAAAGAATTATTCCCAACAATGAGATGCGATGTAGACTAAGTCTCTTGCCAAGTAGTCTTCTTCCAGGTAAAACTCCCAAACTCATGCTACTGTTGCAAACAGAAATTTTCAGCTCTGAAGATTCTTCTTCCATGATATCAACTAATTACTGTTGTCCTTAATGCAGGATTGAATGTGGTCATGTGGAATGGTGGTCACTATTTTGTTAAAGTTGCAAATCTGTGGGCAAACCGGATATCTCCTGATCCTCCTCTGCTGCCAAGCAACCCCGCCTCTTCAATGAACAACGCAGCAACACTCGCCAGTCATGCTGAATAACATGTCAAACCTCTGAGGCTGTGACCTACTCTGATGGAAGCATCAAATGCATTTTGTGTAAAACCCCCAAGTTGTCTTTCTACGTAGAGGGCTGTTTTTGGAAGATAGAGATCCAAGGTGACTGTTCCTTTGCTGTTCATTCTTTTGTACAAGTTGTAATTTACACCATTCTTTCCATAGTGCCAGATAATGGCACTAGTATAGCAAGTCAAAAGGGAATGTCAAGTAATCAAGTTTGGAGTTGAACTTCTGGTATAATGTTGTACTAAAACCATCTGATATGGTGCAAATGTGTAGAATATCCAAGCTGAGAATCGGAATACGGAACATGGAAACTGTCACTCTTTTGCTAGGTTAGTGTTATCGGCTTTGCTGTGTTTTGTTGGATCAGCTAGTATTCCTCAGTTATGCATTGTGATTGTGTTATGTGTGTATCTAGTCAATGAGTTGCTCAGTCCACCGTTTTGACAATGGTCACCAGATCTATTTATTAGCTTTTAAAAGATACGTTTCATTTTACACCATTCTTTTCAAAGTGACGGATAATGGCACTAGTGTAGCAAGCCAAAAAAGAAAGTTCAGTTTGGAACTGAACAACTTGTATAATGTTGTACTAAAAACATGTGACATGGTGCATTTTTGTAAATTATTATCAATGCTGAAAATTATTCATCAGCTATGCATTGTAGATTTAATCGATCAAGTTGCTCAGCCGAACTTTGTCTATGGTCACTTGTAAGAACAGATGACAGCCATGAGTGGAACCGCTAGAACAGATGACAGCCATGAGTGGAACCGCTAGAACTACATATATATATATATAGAAAAATAGGATCCTGGATGTGGATCCACGAAGCATAGGATGGCAAACAGATCGAAATATTGATAACCTTTCTCTCAGTTAGATTGATCAGAAACAGAAATAACAAGCAGCAAGAGAGAGGATTAGCAAAAAAACAGGCCAGATCAGCATTTGAAATGGCAACCTAACGAGGGAACAGTATGCTTGCATTATTCCATCTGCCCATTTAACTGTTACACCGCAGTTTAGCAAATTTCGAACTACATCACAATTGGAACTGGAAAAGCAAATCCTATGATGGCACCATAGGAAAAACTGCTCATTTCTCAAGCGCTATAGGATTATACATAGCCAATAAGTTTAGGCCTAGTCAAAAATAGGCAAAAACATGCCCTAGTAGACAAGCATAGGCTGATTGTCTAAACATCCAGCTCAATGATCTTCACAACAGATGAATCACCAACTTTCTGGCAAACAACGACACGGTCATGGGACTTGATCACACCCGAGGCTTTGCCATGGTCAAGAGCAACCTTCAACACAGACTCATTTGTAGCGCTGGTAGATTCAGCCTGAAAGATACAATGGAGATTGATTAATACCAAGTCACCAGACAGTCATTTGTTAGTTCAGTCAGGTATCAATCAGTTTGCCCCACCCAACTTGAAATAGACGAAAAAAATTTAAGTTCAGCTAAGTACAATTGAGGCGTCATTATTTTACACTGGCCTTGTCTTATAAGCTATTATTCTATAGGCTCAATAAACCAGCCGAGAGTTTTGAAAATGTTTTGATTAACCATACTTATCATACCATGCAAACTGTTTGAAACTGAACTAGTGAACTGCATTCTAGTGTTCTTGCCTTGGGACTTGGTGCGAAGCCCAATGGAAGCAAGAACACTAGAACATGATATTGTTATGTTAATAAAGGTCGATATATATGTACGAACCCTAGCTTCATACTACTTGCTGAAAATCGTCAAACTGTCAACCATAGAAGAGTTGAAACGAAGCTACATTTTGAAGAATACAATGATGCTAATCCCATATATGAGCTACACCCAGGAAATCAGAAGTATGTATTGCAATTATAGTATATACTTAAATCCCTCTAACAAAGGAGATGTTTATCTTACTGGATGCCTTGGATCAGCAAGCATAGGGAAGAGGCCTCTAACTATGAGTGATTGTCTTGCCTGCAAGAAATCAAACAACAAATGAGTCACATAGTACCAAATATCAGCACAATCCACTAACAAACAGAAAACGAAGTTGAATGGTTACATGTTTAATGTCAATAAGCTAAACTTTGCACAGGCAATAAGTCACAAATAAAATGATCAGTATGCTAATAACAATAGAGAGCCCCACATTGCATAAATATAGAACATTGATGTGAAGATCACAAACACAAAAGGGAAAGGTTGTTCACGCACCTCAAAAGCACCTGTGAAACTCCACCTCAGTTGGTTTGTCTTCAGACGAGGAATGACAACAGAAAGAACAGGCATGCTGGGCCTGTACTTGGCAATGAGCCTGCAAATCATTTAGATATACGTGAGACTAATTTTCACTAAACTTAAACTACAGCCCTGTACAAGCAATATTCATTTGTGTATATATATATACCTTGCAGCCCGTCCAGAAGAGGTGAAGCAAATGATGACTGATGCCTTAACTTTGATAGCAGCTCGCACCTAGAAAAGTAGTTATGGTATTTTAGACCCCCAAAAAATAAATCAGTGTCATAATAATTCGTGATTGTGATATGACATTGATAGACAGAAAAATGTTTCTCATGCAAACATTAGACAAAGGTTGAAATATGAGAAGCGTATAGATCTTACTGCTGAGGAAGCAATAGACTCCAAGTGGGTCATAGGTTCTCCCACATATTTCACAGTTCGCTTGTAGTATAAATCTTGGTTGAATACCTTCTCAGCCTGTAAAACAATTGACAAACATTGTATACTAAATTGATCAATGACAAGCCAGATACAAAGCAAAAAAAAGTACACAGAAGTAAAGATAATTGTTGAAATACAAATCCTTCATCAAGAAAACATACAACTCAATAGAAATTTTACCTCGGCACAAATTCTGCCCACTGTTGAAATAGTCTCAACTGGATATAAACCACGGAGAGTCTCAGCACCAAGGACAATGGCGTCACTCCCTGAAGTAAAAGCAATTGTGCATCATGATTGGACTGTCCTTTCTAAGTGCACCATGGACCAGTATGTCAGGCTACAAAGGCCAGAGTCCACCAAAGATTTTTGGAAATCCACTAAAAATTGTCAAGAACTTACCGTCGAGAACTGCATTTGCCACATCAGTTGCCTCCGCACGAGTAGGCCTGAGGTTGTCAGTCATGCTGTCCACGACACGAGTAACAACAGCAGGCTTTCCAGCCATGTTGCACTTGTGAAGTGCGGACTTTTGAAACAAAAAGACCTACAATATGGAGAACCCAGAGAGGTAAGATCAAAGGCTAAACGAACTAGTATAAAAAAGACAATTGTCACATCTTAAAACAAGAGAAAGGTATCATTTTATTATGAAATAAAATGTTTAAGGTTATGTCACTAAAAGTTGATGTATACTGTCTGTATTTCCTTTAACAGATTAGGTTTTGGGTACTAGCGTACGTCTAAATTGAGGTCTTCTGAACTGATGAAATGTTAGTTGAGAAAGCTGACCTTCTCAGGTGGAAGGTCAATTCCTAGGTTTCCTCTTGACAGAATGATACCATCAGCCTCTGCCAGTATTTCATCAAAATGGTTCAAGCCCTGCAAAGCAATAAGAAGTGGGTAGATTGTAAGACAAGTGATAGGTAGCTAATAATGAAAAAAAGATCATCTTGAGAATACCTCAACATTCTCAATTTTGGCAAAAATCTGAGTTTGGCTAAGATCACCCAATTTTGAGAGGTACTCACGTGCCTGTGTTGCAGGGAAAAAAAATATTTGCACTATTAACAACATTCTTCTCAAACAAAGCGGAGACACTGTATTCAAATATAGCTACACAACCTTTTAACTGAAGAAATACTTGTATTTCTTAGAAGCACAAGAATTATAGAGGACAAACGAAATAACTCAAAATACATCCATAACGTCAATAGTTGCTTACCTGCCGCACATCTTCTGCGTGTCTTGTGTAAGACAAAGAGAGGAAATCAATCTTATTTGGAGCACCCCATTTTTTGATAACCTGAAAGCAGTTCATGCAAGTAAGTATTAGGGTGGGCCTAAGGACAGGGATGGAACTTTCAGCAAATATATTTCGGACCCAAAATTTCCGTGTTGTTAAAGGTGAAATTCTGAAAGGAAGGGGATACATCAAACTCAAAGCAACAGTTACACAATGATACATAAAATCACACTTTCGAGAGTTGCTGCTTACATCCTTATCCTCATCAGACAGCGTGGGCAAGTCAATATGGATCTGGGAACAATGCAGTGTGAAGAGTGACCCAGCCAAGGTAGCTGTGTTCTTGATTATACAAACCACATCATCACCTTTAACTTCAGAAACCTATACAGGCAGATAGGGGAATTGATATCTGAAAAAACAGACTACTGGAAGACATAAGGAACACACAAATGTATAGCTGTAAGTACAGGATGCCGAAGGCTTTTACCTCCAACCAAACTGAAGTAGTCTCACTACCAGTGAACAAGTATTGGCCCACAAATATCGTTGCACCTGGTGTCACAGCCTGCAAAGACCAAAAGTGTTTTTTTTTTCAGTGCTGTGCTGTAATGTGGAAACAAGAGACTAAAAGTTAATCTGCTACAGTAGGTAGTCATAGGTTGATCTGCTAGCAGTTGCAGCTGATTGCCTAGAACTAGAAGTAATAATTAACTAAATACAGAACTGGATATTAGATCTGACGAAAAAGAGCGCAGCTTGTGCGTGTGCTAACTTTGGCGAGTCCAGCGAAGTTGATGGGCAGCAAGGTGGAGGAGGCTTCCTGGCCCTGGTGCGGCGTGAGCACGACAGTCCCGTTCTCCTCAAGGGAGATGGGGGTCTCCCTCTTGTTGACCACCTGCAGCTCTGGTCCAACCGTGTCAAGCATAACCTGCAAGCAAACAAGCAAAAGTGTGATCCAGTCGTCAGGTCGTGCCGCATAATGGCTGGCGCGTAACAATACCAAGCATTAGGTGCGTTTATTTGCAGTTATATATATGCGA